ACACAAGACCCTTTAAAAAAAATACATAGCTATTTTGATTTATTTCCATCTGAGGTTCCAAAGTGTGCTCCGAGTTATTTATTTCAATTGCTAAACTGGCTCGGAGCTTCGTTTAACCAAGCAGAGGTCGATTTCTATCAAAATGGGAGCTCTATCTGGAGGGTCGAATTTTCTGCGCATATTGACGATAATTTTCAATTTCCTTGTATTTGTAAGCTTTCACAGTGGACGGTTTCTTGTCACATTGCCTTGATGTGGGAATGCTCTTAGTCGGTCACGTGCCTTTGCTAAGTTCTGTCTTAACTGTGTTACCTCTAGACTAATGAGCGGTAACTTCTGTATTACAACAGGTATATTTAAGGCTTTTTGAAACGTTATTGCATATCGTTTATGGAGAAGCACTGCGTTTTATGAGTCTGACAGCTCCTCCATTAGCGCTCTTTTCATGGCATGCTCCAAAATTAACGTCAAGCCCAACTAATCATAATTGCATGCATTGTCGTTGTCTTCTGCGGTGGAGTCACAACTATTGTCACTGATTTATTCACTCATCCTTCATCTCAGTTATGCGGACTGACAGTCGTTGGATTCTCCAGTTATTTACTCTACAGCTTGAATACCACATTTACTAGTATGAGACCACAGGAATACGGTGTGGTCGTTGGATTCTTGATAATAGGCTGCATCATTTGCATTCTTGGATTCCTTGGATGCTGTGGTGCTTGGAAGGAGAATGTTTGCATGCTTACAGGAGTATGTTGCATCGCATTTTCTGATAAACCGTTTTAGTTTGCGGTTATAATAGCTATATTGCTGGTTCTGGACATTGTTCTCGTCGTGTTAGGATTCGTCTACAAAGATAAGGTTTTTCGCCTTCTCATTGGTCTTATGTTTAGCTTCCTGGACTTATCGAGAAGCTTCTACGAAATGAATTAAACAATTCCAAAAGTGGAAATTCTGCAATTATGGATAACGTGCAAATGGCGGTACTGTGATTTCTTTTTATAACACTCATGTCAGTTCACTTGCTGTGGTGTTCTAGGCCCGTCTGACTACGAGGACTCCATCCCTTACAGCTGCGAAAATTATGAACAGGTATTTTCCTCAAATTTAACCCCAATCGGCTTAAAAGATGCCTCTGTTGTGAGGTTTATTTAATGCTCTTTACGTTTTTGTTTGGTTATTATGACCTCGCTTTCTCTTGAGCTCCATTAGAGTGCCAATCGAGCTACAATCGTTTCTGTTGACGTGCGTACTATTTATCCGTTTAATGACGTTTTAGGGCTGTCTGGGAAAACTTGAGGATGTTTTTGCGAAGTATTCAACCATTCTTTTCATTTTCGCGATTGTCGTGGCAATTTTCCAATTGGCTGCCATAATTGTTGCGTGCTACCTTCGATCCAGCATCCGGTCCTACCAGACCGTGTGAAGGGGACTTCGCTTGGTTGTATAACTGTTCCGTTGACATTTGCACTAGCTGTCATTTATCGTTCTTTTACAGTAATTCACAGTCGTTTTACGATTTCCAGTTTAAAACTCTGTATTGATTGAATAATTGTTTCACCAAATCAGCTGTCGTATCCAACACTTTTCTCGTAATTTACAAAGGCGCAAAAGACAACTGTTTGCCGTGTTGTACGCACGTTTAAGCAATTGTTTAGCGACCACATTATTGGTCACAATTGCTGAGTTGGGTCCCTATCACTTTTTTGACAATGGGGGTTGGTAGCTTGCGTTATGATCCGCATGTTATTCCGCGATTTCTGTTTCCCGTAGTGTGGGTTTCCTACGACGTTGCTGCGGTTCAAGTATCTGCTCACAGTCCTCTAGTGTAGCTCTTATTTTCGTTATTAGATTCAAACGAATAAGTGTTTACATAGCTATGCATCTGGCAACGTCGTCGGGAAGTTTGTCGTGGGTACACCTGTGGCTCTATGACATCCGCCTATAGATCAATTGCTGTATGGAAGTGTTCGAAGGCTTTGAGAACTGTTTTATTGTTTCATTAAAACAGGTTCGGGTTGACGATTTAGTTGGGTCAGCGAGTTCTTGGAATTCGAAGTAGAGAGGGTTGTCCTAGTGTTTGCAACATTTGCAATCGCAGATTCGCTCCTTCATTGTACGAGGAATCACTGTCAACCATCCCTTAGCTGAGTGGTGTGGCGACGCAGAACTTCCAAATGGATAGAAGAAGGCGTAAAGAGGAACTGAATGAATACATTCCAATAAGAAAAAAGAATTAAGCATAAACTTGGCCCGAAGGCAAGTCCAAGGGTGCAAGGGCCAGATGAGTCTCAAAGAAACAGCCAGATATCAGGTGGTCGCATAAATAGGCACTGCACTTAAACCTCATTTAGGGACTCACTTATAGGTGTTTTGCGCATTTTGCGTTGATTTCTTCCTTCTCTTTTCGGTTTAAATTAGATGTCGGTACTGTAGAGTGTAGAATCCTCTCCTGACTTGAAGGAGGACAGACGATGGGGCATTACAGTCAGGCTACCGCAGTGAATGTCATCGCAGAGTTTCAATACAATCAGTGGTAACACAAATGATGTCCGAATTTTAACATGAAGTCATTAAGGGCATCTGAATGTTGGCTAAGTGCCGAAAAGTGACCTTCAGACCCTCTCAAATCATTCAACATCGACAGAGCACGGTATCATGGTTTCTTCAGTCGCAACATCAAACACTCTGACATTGCCTTCGAAAAAGTGGTGGTATACGCTGTTGACTCGTCAACCGGTACGGCATTACTACTCGAGCACGATCGAATGAAATGAGAGTTGGCACTGCGTCGCACATGCGCATTCGCTGTTACGAATCTACCATGGACGAGTATTGTGATATCCACGTCTGGACATCAACGCTGGTCGAGGAGGTGCTCATTCACCAAATCACCACTTTAAGTCGAGCGTAACTGCAGGTTCAGGTGAAGTTGTCGAGGGGATGTTGTTGACACGCCAAGGTGGCTTGCGGGTGTTTACTGCTCGCGGTGCCAACTACGTTGTGGTGGTTAGAGCGGCAGACCATGCAATACGATCGAAGATCCGTACGAGTGACGTTCACCTTGTCGACACTGCCGCTTCTGTTGGGCCTTGGCAAAAGGCCTGCTTCCTTTTGAATGCACGCATCTGGTCCACTAATGTGCCTTCCAACATCCAATGTGAGGTGCCTGAACACTGCAATGCGTGCAGTCATGACATCCCCTGTCTGTTGGAGGATGTGGGCGTTACACGGCGCTTTTTATTCACAATAATTGCCCACTTCGTTTGCGTAAAGCGAAGCTGAAAGTGTAAGAGAAGTGACAATGTTGGAGAAAATGGACTGGACTGTTTTGCTGCATTGGTTAGGTAGGCGTCTCGGATATTATTGGTTAATGGCGGCGGGTGGTAATGTTCGTGGTTCCGCCGTCAAGGCTCTTCAGAAGGAATTCAAGGAACTAGCCGAAACTCCAGTTGAGGGATTCAAAGTTACCCTAGTTGACGAGTCGAACTTATTTGTGTGGGATGTAGCAATTTTTGGCCCTCCGCAGACACTCTACGAAGGTGGTTACTTTAAGGTATATTGTGCTGTCATTCTGCTTAATATTAGGCTCGTTTATCTTTTCCTCCGGATTATCCTTATCATCCTCCTTCAATGCGTTTTATAAATCCTATGTTTCATCCGAATATTTTTGAGAACGGGAATGTGTGCATATCCATTTTGCACTCCCCTGGCGAAGATTTATTCAGTGACGAACATCCCTCCGAGCAGTGGAATCCTACTCAAAATGTTCGGTATGTGGTGTATATTGTCGCCATTTTCTAGAACTATCCTTCTGAGTGTCATTTCTTTGTTAAATGAACCTAATATTCACTCGGCTGCACATGTGGACGCGTCTGTTGCGTACAGAAAGTGGATTGAATCTAAAGGAAAAGAAAAAGGGTACGAGCAGCGTGTTAGGTAGGTGTGCGGGCACCATTTCATGCTGCTTTTCATAGCGGCTTTTTATGTCTTTGCCTTTTTGACATAAATATGTTATCAGGCGGTGCTCCGCCTTTGCTTGTCAAAGGTACAAGATGGTAGTTACAGTACGTCAACTTTCCTATTATGCATTGATTTTGTTGCTTTGGGTGGCAATTGTGTTCTTTTGTTGGGGGTCGAGGCTTATTTTTAGCATTAAGCTGTCCTAGCGATATTGATTTATATTTTTACACGATAAAATTAACGTCATCCAACCCACCCATTAAACCTCCCCAACTGAGTATTCCATTTTGCGTTTCAGCTTTCTCAGCTTTGTTATACTGTTTTTTACCGTGTAGCGCTTGTAATTGGTCTTGACATTCTAAAATGACTTCGCTATCCTTAATTTATGAACGAATGGATTTGCATTTTATTGCTTGTGTGATACTCTGTCTTGGTTTTATTATCAGTCTTCGTATGCGTTCTCAATTCCTCCTGACAGCTATTACGGTGCTGGGTTTAGTTTTATTTCGCTGGGATTTCATGTCCTTAACTTCTGCTGTAGCCTTGCTGTAAGCGTTCCTATCAACCGTGTACTTTTAGGGAGCTCGTGGAACGTACGAAGCTTGATGCAAAGTGGGACGGAGTAATCGTACCTACTACTCTCGAAGAATATTGCTTCGCCTCTCGACAGCAACAGTCTGCAGCGAAATCACGGCAGGAAAGTGAAGAGGCGATGCTTTTGGATGAAGATGATTACTGCTTTTGTGGCGACGATGATGAGGACTTGGATGATTTCGACGAAATTTATGGAGAGGCGAAGAACCTGGATGAAGTTGAATGTGAAGATAAGGTAGTCGCTTGCCACTGTGTAACTGACAAATCTCTTCCCTCGAAAAGTGGTATTACCACCCCCTCTGTTAAATCCTCGGCGGAACCTAATTCGCCTTCCACATCTTTTAAAAGCTAATTGCTTTAACTAAAAGCTGTGATACTATGCCCGAATCCACGCTTTAACTTTTCATGGTTCGCTTTATTTTCATGGTGAGGTTGTGTGTGTACATAGCTTGATGATTCCGTTCGCCCAAGTGCGGTTGTGGTTCTTGCACGTTTTTAATCGACTATCTTACTGTAATCTGAAGGTTTGAGTATGTCAATAAAAATGGGTTAACGTAGTGCTTTGTCTTGGCGGTGTGACGAGGTGACTTCCGGTGTGTGCACCCGTTAGTGCGATCGTCGTGTGTACTTGTGTCGGGATGACGCATGTCGGAAAAAGTTGGTGGGGTTCCCCCTACTGATAAGCTTGTCCGCAGCTGAGGAAACATCGCTCTAGTAGCCAGGATGTCTGTCGTGGCGATGCGGTGGCCTTTTGTCTCGGCCTGTTATAACGCAACATTAGAGTAATGTCGAAATTTAGGCAAATACTAGAATTGACGTTGTTTCACGCGTAACCTACTACTTTGTGTCAATTCCAGTATTTTTCTTAATATGGATCAGCCCAGTTCTTCCGCATTTAGGGGACACTTCTGAATTAAGCCTATTAATTGACTTGGATTGAGGCTTTTTGTCATGTTTGTCGGTACTTTCATCACAGAGACCACAGAGTTAGCCATCGATAGAGACGCCATGATGCAGAGTCAGTGTAAATGGTTCTTTGCTGCTAAGGGACGTCTCTTAACATGTTGATTAGAAACAATTGGGGTTGGTAGGTTGGTGAATACATTTCTTATTGAAATGCTGAAACATCCAAAGTCCTTAGTTTTTTATCAGAGCATCCTACCTTGGTTCAGCTCCCAGTCGCCCTATTTTGATCAAAAACGGAACGTAGCCTCAGCTCTCGGTATGTATGAGCTTTCTGAGTCTGTAAATGTTCACGGCTAGGACTCACTAGTATCTGGGACATTACTGAAACGATATTGACTTTGTGGTTAGCTTTGAAACAATTTTGCCATTCACGTAGTTTTGTGCTGCATACCCGAGGTCACGTTTGTGTTCTCCCCCAGCACGGCGCTCCCGCTTCCGCTCCTCAGGGCACATTCAAACGACTCAAGCACTGCACCCAACACCATTCTTGTGTGCTTACCTCATCAAGAACCATCATCAAAGGAGACTGATGGGACTTTCAGTCCAGCCTACGCAGCCGCTAATACCAACAATCAAACAAACAAATGTTCATGAGTTAGCAGTGCCAGTAGTTAATTTCTAGTTACTGTAGGATATTTTGCCTAAGCATTGCTTTTGGAATGGCTGAAGGCTAGCCCACCCAACAGCAAGGAAATGTCCGATAAGGTGGTCATCATCGAAACGGCCACTTTTAATGACTGTGTAACTTTCTGGCATTCATGCCTTTCCTACGTTCCGATTTCTCAACTACCGTTGCCTGCTGTACGAACTAATAAAATTTCTGTTGCCTGTCTATTTCAGTGGGCTGAACGAATCACAGGATGGGAAATGCAATAAATTTATTGAGCTCGGAAAGTTGACTTTAGTAACTTTTGTCCCCTAGCCTGGCATGCTCATGGTTTATCGCTCCCGCACCCTGCGAACCATGAGGATGGTTCGATAAAGGCCTATTGAAAATCGATAAAGTGGAGGATAGGCCACCAGCTTGCATGTTCGCGTCTCGAACACTAGTTAATTTTGAGATGCCGCCTCTACTGCCTTGGTATTTTCCGAACACTTCCCTCTCCCAAAGAGTGCAGGTCTAACGAAGTGTGTTTTAAAAACCTTTAAACTGTCAGTCACCTTTTCTGGCGCTTGATTTCCCACTACAATCGGTTCCTCTCGTACACCCCATTAGGCCATGCTACTAAAAGCTCTAACGCCCAATTCCTACTCAACTATAGGACTTCATTTTGAAGTGGTTGTATCGCTTTCTCTCGCTAGCTTTTCATTTTATTTAAAAGCACTTTCCTCTCCCCAAGTTCCCGAGGGATTATATTACACCTGTTTTGCTTTATAAAGTTTGTCTCCTTGGGACCCTGCTCTACTTGTATAGGCCAGATTGGATTTCAGTAGCCATAGTTTGTTGACAAGGTCTAAGTCAATTCATTATTTAATGTTGTTTAGGTTTAGAGCCTGTGGAGTTGCCTGTTTTGGAAGGGTGTTGATTGTGCAAATTGACGTCGCACATGCTGATTCCATTTGGGTTACGCTAGCAGTTGTAAGGAATGATTTTTGACCGTCTCCTCTTAGCTGAAGAAAACCGTCGTAGTACAGTGCTCCCCAACAAGAAAACTAAATGTTTTCGCAAAGATGGCTTTCAAAGGCTTAGTGTGGGTTGATTTTGGGGCACAGGGCTACTTTATTTAATGGGATACACGTGCCTTAAGAAGTTAACTTAAAAGAGAGAATTTTATCAATTTGTTACTGTGAAATTTCTGTACCTAATTTTACTCCCGAGAGTTTTCTTTCCCCTAGCCAAAATTTATGAGCTTCTAAAATATGTCTGCTGTCTTTTTAAACTCAAAATAATCCTACATGGTCATGATCACTGATTCGTACTTATCGTTTCTCATTAAATACAAATCTTAAGGGAAAGAAATAGTATTCTACAATTTTCTAATACCTCCTCCCTCCTCTCCTATTTGACATTTTCGGAGCGCCGATGAAGAAGCCCATGCCCACCGCTCCGGGTCAATGCCAGTTCAAATCTCTTCAGGTGGGCATTCCACAGTCTTTCTGACCTTTTCCGAAACGGGGAACAAGATGGTCGTAGAAGGAGGTAATAATTATTGTTGATAAGGTGGGGGAAGTCAACTCAATGAAATTGGGCTATTTTGTGACTGCTATCGGAACCCCTCAATTTCCTTGCGATTAACATTTGGTCAGGTTTTAGCAAAGTTGTGTCGTTTTGGTGTGACTTGCCTACCAACGCTGGGCGCACAGAAGCGATCGTGAATGCTGCAATCTTGTCAACCAGTGCTTTGAATCATCCGATTGCATTGTGCCCACCAAACATCATGATCGGCTTGAGTTACTTTGTTCTTGTTGCTGTTGTACAAAAGGCGATTTCAGCTTCCATAAAAGGAGAAGACATTTTAGTGCCATTCGATAGCACTCAATATTCAAATGAATTCCATCGACATTGTATGACGGCTTGGGAACCGGCACAGCTGGCATTGTTTGGCCACTCGAAGGTGAGACGTTACCTTCCAGCCTTCCATGAGTTGATAGACCAACGCGATAAAAACGCTTCTATTATTAATGTAAAAGTGCAGTACCTTTCAGGAGTTCGAAGTTATAACATTGAAGCACATACTGCACGCTCTTCACAGCACCAGCGGTGGATAAGTATATTTTCAAAGTACTCCCAAAACGAGCTATTCAATTGATGTCAATGTGCATCACTGATACTCACCTATGCTTGTAGATTCTTTGTTCCAACTGCACCATCCGATCCATCCTTCACTCAGACGATGCATATGCAAGCAAGCTATCCACTGTTGCCTGTCTGTCCCCTTCAGCAGATTGTCGGTCAGTCGTTGCATGAACGTTATGGCGCCTTTGCAGCACGGGAGTGGGACTCACCTCTCCACACCGCACCCTTCCCCGAGCATACGAATACTGTTGGAACGGTGATCCCACCTGTGTTGAACTGGAAAAGTCGGTGTTGCGTAGACCCCTGGAAGGGCATTGCGCCTGTGCAGGTGCCTGAGAGTGGTGAGCGTTTGGTCACAAGTGTTGTCAATCAGCGACACACAGTGCTGTTTTCTCCACCGCAGTGGAAATTCTCAACCTCGCCAGATTCTGCATAACTTCTTTTTTGCGTTTGAAGTGGTGCGAGAATGTGCTGGTCTTGTATGAATGGTTGGATAAAGGCGCCCTGTGAAACCTCTATCATCTTGCATTGCATGGTAGAGTAAGTGAGGTAAGAGGGAGAAGCGTGGTAGTCTCGTGCACCTACTCGGAGCGTGCTTGTGCATTGTCAAGTTGTGATGGGGTGACCGTGAAGG